TTGAATGTATAGCAGAATCCTTAGTTCTTTTACAGGGGCCAGGAATTATTTGAGCCCACTAGCCAGTTTCTGGGAGCTGCTGCAGGCTGGTCCACACATCCCCTCCACCCTCCCCAACAACATCCCAGAGCCCACATGCCCTGCAGCTCCCTCCCACCACTAGTGCCCAGCAGCAACTGGCTCTGGACTCACCCCACTCAGGGCGGGGATCAGGGATGTGCACACAGGTCTCGGCTGGCCCAGAGCTGATCTGCTGTAGCCAGGGTGAGTCCAGAGTAGGCCGAGGACAGTGCCAGGGTTGCACGCATGTGTCCCTGCTAGTCGTCTTAGGGCTGGAGCTGGGGCCAGCAGGAGCCAGAAGAAGCTGCTGCATAGAACTGGAGTTGAGCTGCGGAGCTGTGCCAGCCTCACTGCACCCCAGGGACAGTGGGATATGCTATGGGCCAGACAGCACCTGGGCACCAGTGATGGCTGCAGTCCCTCTGCAGGCCAGAGCCAGAGCCAGCCTACAGGCCATGTTTTACCCACCCCTATTCTATTATGTACTTAAGACAAAAGAAGCAATAGCTTTGTTTGAGGATGCTTTCATATTCTGTGCACTCACAAAAAGCATTAAAAATTGGTTCCTGTTAACTGTAGTAGGAAATATTGTCCATCTTACAGCTACCACAAGAATGGATGCTCTGTCTGTAGCAAACCAATTGAGGAATCTGTCTTCAGACCCACGGAATAGAGAAACAATTGTGAAAGACAAAGGATGTCTTTCTGGCCTCATCCTGTTTCTGGACCATCCTAACACAGTAGTTGTATATTTAGCTCTTCAGGTAATTCTTGCTTTTGTTAAAACTCTTGGTTTCTCTAATTCAAATCAATCCCAATATTTAGTAAACTGTTAATCCTGTAATCAAATGTAAATCCTGCCTAACCAAAGGAGTAAAAAATGTAAGACGCTTAGAGCCTCTCTTAGGTAGAGGAGTGCTCCTTTCTTGTTTTCATAGAGTTTGAATCCTGCTCTAAGAAAAAACAAAACAAAAAACTGCACACACTTTTGGTAATGGAGCTGATCTAGTAAACGTCAGCTAAAAATAGCACAGTGCAGTGCTGCAAGAGAACACTAGGCTTCACTACAACCTTATAGTTTTATTCATAAGAGCAGCAGATTTAAAACTTCCTGGGAAAATGCAGTGTCTTCTGATTCTAAGAGCGTATCACCTCATCAAGTCACACAAGGTGTGTATTAACTATGATGTCTTTTAACAAGAGGTTAGATCCCTCTATTCAAACTACTGAAAACTTCAAGGTGAAGGTTGTAAGAAGGCTGGTTTGAGCTGCCAGGGTCTCTTTAAGACATCCTATTTAGTAGTTTCTTAAACGGACTTTCAAAAGACCAATCTAGTTAGAGATCATACTACTTCAATCAGGTTCAGATTCCATCGTAGTTACTGGTGTACACTTGTAATTTCCCCCTCCAGTTTCTTGTATTTCAAGTGCTTGTGCTGCTTTTCCTGATGATCTCCTCTGGAAAATGGAAGCAAACTGAAGAGGCCTTTTTAGCAATGTTAAAATGTTACCTGTACTAAGTAAACATTTTTTAAACAGTTGCAATTTGACTGGCCCTATTAAAAGCACTGCTAGCTAGTCACCAAAACAATCCACAAATAGTAAAAAAAAAAGTCTACATGGTTAATAGATGCAATTGTAGTGGGATAAAAATATAAGGATCTATATCAGTGGTGGTACCTGTAACTTGCAGCTCGTTTTGTAAAAGTGTTGTCTTGTTTCAGGGGTGTACTTGGTAGCCGTGTTGGTCTGAGACAAAAAGACATACAAAAAACTAAAACTCTTGGTTCCAAAATGATACCTTTTATTAGACCAACTGGAAAATGGCAAGAAAATGGTTCTTTTCTGCAAGCTTTTGGGATCGAAGTCCCTTCATCAGGCTCTGGGGAAAGCATAGATGGTACAAGATGATTATTTCAGCCAATTTTGGATTTTAAACTTCATTGCAGAAAAACAAGGAAGTATTTTTGCCTCCCTGCCTGCCATCTGACACCTCCAGGGAAGGAATTCTACCTGATCAACACATCAAAGAACTACTCAACACAGCTCACAAAGACACTCATGGACCCAGAGGGACAGACTTCCATCTTCAGCCCCCTCTGTGCAAAAATGAAGTTTATTTCCTACCTATGGGGACTTTTTACCATCTTGTACCATCTACACTTTTCCCAGAGCCTGACGAAGGGACTTTGATCCCGAAAGCTTGCAGAAAAGGACAGTTTTCTTGCTATTTTCCAGTTGGTCTAATAAAAGGTATCACTTTGGAACCAAGAGTTCTAGTCTTTTGTATGTCTTTTTGTCTCGTTTCAGATTTTTTCCATGCTCACTGAGCCAATATATTGTCTCCAATTCCACACACAACTTTTTCCTGCGTTTTGCTTAAAGGGGACCAACAGTGATATTTCCACCATTGTTATGCTAAGAATCACTTGTTTAACCTGAAGTAACTTGTGTCCATTAGTCACTAAGACATTTGTCATATTGAATATCCTCTATTTTGATTCTTACCTATTAAGATCTTGGATGAGAAACGAATTGCTGGGAAACAGGTCAGGTTCTTAATTTTACAGGTACACATTGAAGAGATTCAGTAGAGCCCTCGAGCTTTGTGAAGCTTATTTGATCTAACGTTTGAACAAGAACACTGTAAAAGACTTGACCTCCTGCAAAAGCATGTTCCTAGTTGGTTAGTGGAACTTAATTTCCAAGGTGGCAGAGCTACAGGCTGACTGGATCTTCCAATTTCATGTTATAAAGAAACTTAGCACAGTTCATGTTGCCACTGTTACGTATCAGATCTTGACTGAAAGCCATCTATTTTTAAATGATTTCCCCCTTTTGCAGGCACTTCAGTATCTTTCAGAATGTCCTTCCAACTGTGAAATTGTGACAAAAGAACCAGATATAATGTGGAGGCTAGAGAAACTGCAGAAAAGGTAAATTTTAATTGGTGTCAGTTTGTCAACTGTTTAAGTGGGTTGAGTTGCAAAGATTTCAAAGAGACCACTGGCTTTATGTTTAATAGTTTCTCATCAATTTAAAGTGTTGTTGCTAACATGCAGTAGGCTTGCATCAGTCTGTAAATAACACTGGTTTGAAAAACTTAAAGGAAAATGTCTGTTAAGAAGTAACTTGTAGAACTGACACAGGGAAAGGAAGGACTCCTTAAATGAGGGTGTTGGTAGTAAAATAGGATTTCAAATGCAGTTAGTTATGAACTGTTAGGAGATGGGTTAGTAGGCCCTGGTCCCTTTCCAGGAAATCTGTTCAGGTGCATTTAAGAACTAGCTAGTTCATGCTGCTTTTAGTCTTTGAATTTGTGAGGCACATTTTTTTTTTTTACTATCCATTGGAAATGTAGAAAGTGCTGGAAACCATAGGACATTAGTTTGCAATATCACTTAGCCTCAGCGTTTGAAAAATTGAAGGAAATACATCAGTCTTTTTCCTGGCCCTTTTTCTCAAGGAAGATTGGATGAGGAAGCAAGAAAAGGAATAGTAGACCAGCTTTAGAAGAAAGAGGGGAGGCACTCAAGGTGAGGTGTATATAGCAGTATTACAGCCGACTTCATATACCGAAGCAAGTGGCAAAAGGCATTGGGAGTAGCCAGTGTACTGCCTCCTGTTTCTGTGAATACGCTGTTGGTCCTAGAAAACAAAACAGACCAAAATGTAGAATTATAATAAAAACTATACTCAAGAAGCTGTGGGTACCAGTTAAAGTGAAAGACAGCCTTCAAGAACTGGCAGTTACCAAGGCTGTTATCAACTCCAGTACATTATATGAAAGGCTACTTCTGGGAATGACAAAAACCAAACAGAAAAAGCATGAACATTCCTCCTGGCTAGGGGGAAGAGTACCAGCAGAACAATTTATGGTTTCCTGGTTTGGGGAACATGCAATTCTCAAAGTGGCTGCATTTCATGAAGTAGAGCTTGAGATGTAAAGCACTGACAGAAAAGCCCCCTATAAGCAAGAGAATTGCATAAAGCCACCCAGCTTGCTTTTGGGAGTCAGGAAGACCAGAAATTTGAAGATCAAACAAGTGCTAAAAGGGACACCTTGAGAAGTCTCAGTAATCCAACTTGTTTCTGTAGTGAATAAAACTTCAATGGTTATTTCTAAATTATACAGCTAGAAAAGTGAGTTTAGCTCATGAGCCACTAGTAATTCCATCTACATACTCTCTACCATTGTAGCAGTTTTAAAAGGTGTGGTAGAACTGCTGCTCCAGAGTGTGCAGGTGTATCTAGAAAAATAAAATCACTCCAACTTTAACCCAGCTGCATCCAAGATCAAAGCTAGAGTGATTTAGCTCACTTGCTTCGCAACAGGGTCATGTACATCTAACAATTATAGTACCCGCTGGAGCAGCATCAGCTCCTCTTTTTTTGAAGCTATTATAAATGTATATTTGTCCATAGAATAAGTATAGTTACAAATAGGCTATAGGAAGAAAGAAACCAAATACATTTTTTTTCCTCCCAATTGTTTTGTTTTTCCCTGTAGACATGACATCAATGGCAGTCTTCAGCTTCTAGCAAGAGAAGTACAGAATGCACTGAATACATGTTTTTATATCAGCAATACACGATGTACTCCACAAGTATTTGATAACAAGTTCAAAGCACAGTTTTTTCTTAACAGCTCCAACAAGACAGCAAAGACCATTACTCTTCACATTGAAGGACTAGATAATGTGGTAGGATCCTATATGTTATTCAGCATCTTCTGATCCAAGCTGTAAATACTTAAGGTTATCATATCACTACTTTTGTTTAGTTGAATTGTTCCTCATGTGGCTTCTCCTAAACCATGTGAACTTCAGTCTCTATCATAATGTCAGCACAAAGTCATGGCAATGACCTTCCTGTTGCTATGTTATCTAGGATTACTTCCTTCATGCTGATTTTGGGCAACTGCACTGACACTCCTCAAAAGGATAAAGGGGAAAGTCTGTTACCTAATCCTTAGAGGAAGGATATTATGGCAGTGGGTTGGAATTCAGGAGACTGGGTTTCATTTCCATTTTTATCAGATTGTCTTTACAACTTTAGGCAAACTATTTTGTGCCTCCATTTCATTAGAACTAGATTAATACTTCCTTTTTCCAATCCAGGTTTCAGAAACCCCACATAATCCAGTTTAAATTAGGTCCTGTAGTCACTACTATAGTACAATAAATGATACCAAATACCTAAGCAGCCCACTGGGCTAGTATTACTAACCTATTTTAGGATTGGTGTACCCAATCACAACTGAAAGCACGTAAACTAAATAGGCTTGGTCCTACTGCTTTCAATGTTGGTTTGACATTGAGTTAATAGTTAAATTCTAACTGGTGTGTTTTCACTCATCCTTTGACTCTTTTTAATCTAGCATACCAAAAATCTGTGTGAGGAAGCACTGCTAAAAGTCAAAGGAGTAATCAGCTTTACATTTCAATCAGCTCTCAGAAGATGCACTGTACGTGTAAAATCAGATCTTGAAACAGAGGTAAGGTCAAATTAATTTCTGAAAAAATACTGTAGCACTAACACACTAGAAGCTTAATTTGCACTTGAACAACACTAGTTCCAGTACTCCTGTACTGCTTCTAAAGCTCTGAACCAACAATTCTTAATTGTGAGATTTCAGACACTGCTGCCAAGAGCTATGAGAAGTGGAATCACCTTGTTTTTTCCCTTTTTTTGCATTATCAAAGTTAGATACCATTTAACTGTAGTTGCTACCATTGCAGCCAGTAAGGTGACTGATGCTACAGAGGTCAACTGGATGCATTGTAAGAATGTGTAATAAGCAGTTGGCACACTTTTTTTTTTTTTTTTTTTT